TCGATCCAGGGACTCCAGGATCATGACCTGAGCCGAAGGCAGTCGCTTAACCAACTGAGCCACCCAGGCGCCCAAAAATCAGTAATTTCTAAAAATGTATTTGATAATAGCAGCTGCTAGTTGTTAGGTACTTACTTTATGCCTAAGTGTTTTATCATTTTTATTTCATCCTGACAGCAGTTACTACTTTATATCTGAGGAAACTGAAACCTAGCAAGATAGAGTAATTTGAGATTGGTCATACAAAGTGAACAGCAGGACAGGATTCAAACCTGTATCTGTCTGACTTCCTAAGTCAGTGTTGTTGTTTTTTTTTCTTGCCACTGAGCATTGAAAATTGGAGGCTCCTTTGATTAGTCTTCTTTATAGTCCCTAGTTGTACATGATCTAAATATTTTTTTCTTTGTAAATATGAAGGTGCCTTGATTATTGTTAACTAATAAATTGCAACTTTGGAACTGAGTATGTTATTTATTTTCCAGGATAATTGCCACAAATAAATGCAGTTTTACTGGAATGATAGAGCTCCTAGCTATATGTTTCTCAGCCAAAACTTTTAACATGTCATTCTTTGTAAAAGAGGATGATACTTTAAAAAGTTTTTTTTATTAAAAAAAAGATGATCTTATTTACCCCATCAGCAATAAAGGAGTAATTTTTTTGTACTAGCTATAGGGCATCTGTACTCCCCCATACTCAGATTAAACTTTTTTTAAAGATTTATTTATTTATTTGCGAGAGAGAGAGAGAGTGCATGCACATGTGGGGGAAGATGCAGAGGGAGATAAGCGGACTCTGCGCTGAGTGTGGAGCCCGACCTGGGGCTTGATCCCACGACCCTGAGATCATGACCTGAGCTGAAATCAAGAGTCCGACGCTTAACTGACTGAGGCACTCAGGCGCCCCTAAAGTATAATTTTAAAGCAATAAATTAATCTGAAGACCTGTTTCACATCATTAAAGCGCTTAGGTTTTAAATTAAATACAAATTAGAGACTCTGAGTGTTATATTGGCCCTTGCATAAAGTTGTTACCATGGTATTAGAGGAGTGAAAGAAGTATAACTGAATGCTTCAGTTTCACTACAATGTGTTTCTTTACATTTTTTCAGGATTTTAAATGTGTTTCGGCACTGGGTTGAACACCATTTTTATGACTTTGAAAGAGATTTGGAGTTGCTTGAAAGACTAGAATCCTTCATTTCAAGTGTAAGAGGTATATTATTTAAAGGTTTGATTGACTCTTACATTGTGCATGAGTTTATTTTTAAATTTGTGTGACTTCTAAGAAGCTAAACTTTTCTTTATTTTTAAACAGCTAAAATAACATTTGGTATGGTTTATAGACTCGAAGGAGCTCACATATGTTAGAACAACCTGAAGTCTTGGAACCTTGCCTTTTCAAGTTTTTTTTTTTTTTTTTTAAAGATTTTATTTATTTGAGAGAGACTGAGAGACAGCACGAGAGGGTGGAGGGTCAGAGGGAGAAGCAGACTCCCTGCCGAGCAGGGAGCCCGATGCGGGACTCGATCCCAGGACTCCAGGATCATGACGTGAGCCAAAGGCAGTCGCTTAACCAACTGAGCCACCCAGGCGCCCGCCTTTTCAAGCTTTTTAGGAGAATCTTTTTTTAAAAGAAGTCATAAGTCTTCTTTAATAAACTTAATACATTTGAAATTTTATCTCATCTTAAGGTTGCCATTCTTTCAACTAATTAAATACATGTGCAGTAGTATCTGTTTTCTTATTCTCCTTAATCTTATTCTTTAGTTTTGAATGGTTAACAACTTTTAAAAATAATATTTACTTCAGGGCACCTGGGTGACTCTGTCGGTTAAGAATCCAGCTCTTGATTTTGGCTCAGGTCATGATCTCAGGGTCATGAGATCTCACCGGCATCAGGCTCAGTGCTCAGCTCAGCAGAGAGTCTGTTTGAGATTCTCTCTCTCCCTCTCCCCCTTCCCCTGTTCATGCTCTCTCTCTCTCTCTAAAATAAATAAATAAAATCTTTAAAAATAATATTTGCTTCTCTTGCAAAAGTTTTTGGTGTATTTTTAGCACCTGAAAGATAGGAGTTTCCTACCTAAAATTTTAGCACACAGCCCATAAAATGAAAGTTTAGGCCATGAACATTTAAACAAATGTATATTATTGAATCAAGAACATTTATCTCACAGGATAAGGCATTAATTAAGAATACTTTAAGCCTAGCTTATCTCATCTCCTACTTTTTCTTACTTAAGGGGAATTTTACTTAAAATAGAGAATGTGATTCCTTTGCTTCAACTTTGAGATGTTTAAGATACATTTTTATCACGTTTGCCTTGAAATTGTTTATGGTACCAAAATAATTTTTCACATTATATTCTTAATGAAGATGCTAGACTATATATGATCTAAGAAACTTCTAAAATACACATATGTATTAGGATAAAGCAAGTAAATGGTTATATTAATGTCTGAAGGTCTTTCTTCAATAAGTTATACTGCAGCATAACCAAATAGTTGATGAAGGAAAGTAGTGTTTTTTTTAGACTTATTTATTTGAGAGAGAGAAAGAGCAAGTGGTGGGGTAAGGGCAGAGAGAGAGAGAAAATCCTGAAGCAGACTCCCCACTGAGTGCAGAACCCTATGTGGGGCTCCATCCCAGGACCCTGAGATCATGACGTGTGTGGAAATCAAGAGTTGGCTGCTTAACGGACTGAGCCACCCGGGGGCTCTGAGGGAAAGTTTCTTTTTATAAATGTATTTTAACTAATAAATGAAGAAGGAATGATAGAATTAGAATATTACTATTTTTCAACCCCCTAGTAATATTACAAAGAAGTAACTGGACATTATATGCCTGCTGTTGGAAATATTCTTGCAAGTATGCATGTGAAAAATTGATCCTGAATTAGATCACATCTGTATGTGTGTGATTTACAGAAGAAACGGGGACAGAGACACAATGCAAATGAAACCACAGGGACAGAATTGGAAAAATTCAGACTTGGGAAATACCACAAGGCAAATGATTCCATTTTAACAAGTAAATTGCAAGCAAAAATAAGAGAAAAGGAGAGCCTGTAGATTAAAGGAGACTCGAGACATTGACTGAGTGCAATTTGTAGAACTTGTTCAGACCCTATTTCAAACAGACCAACTGTTAGAAAACATTATGAGAGAATCAGGGAAAGAGCACTAATTAGATATTTGATGCTTTTAAGAAGTTATTGTCATTTTTACATATGATAATGGTATTGTCGTTTTAAAAAGTCTTTAATTTTTATACTTAAATATGAATGAAATAATATGACATATTTGTTTCACGTTTATTTAAGTATTCTGTATACCCAACATGGTGCTCAAACTCACAACTCCAAGATCAAGAGTCGCATGCTCTTCTGACTGAGCCAGCCAAGCACCCCTCTTACATTTCTTTCAGAATAACATAGGGAGTGGAAGGAGGGCATGAGTGGGGTTAGGTGAAACAAAAATTGGCCATAAGTTGGTAATTGTTGAAGCTGGATAAAGATTAAAGATTATGTGAAGATTTGCAGTTATGTCTGTCAAGTAAAAGGTATTTTGTGTTCTTTTCTAGGGAAAGCTATGAAGAAATGGGTAGAGTCAATTGCTAAGATCATCAGGAGAAAGAAACAAGCTCAGGCAAATGGAATAAGCCATAATATTACCTTTGAAAGTCCACCTCCGCCAATTGAATGGCATATCAGCAGAGCGGGACAGTTTGAAACATTTGATCTCATGACACTTCATCCAATAGAAATTGCACGTCAGCTGACACTTTTGGAATCTGATCTCTACAGGTAGACAATGTTTATTTGCTGCTCTGTTTTCAAGAATCTTAAACCATACCTCTATTTTCAGAACATTTTGCATGCTTAAAAGTGCCTCATTTATTCTCGTGGGCTTGGAGGGAAGCTCATAGCACAGTTTTTAACTACAATCTGTTCTACAGGTGAAAGTCTTTTATTGTTATTTAGGCCTAGATTAGGTACTAGCAGTCCTTCACATGACGAGTGGTAGACACTAATGCCACTTTTGAGGTAATCACCCACCTCCTCCTCCTAATACTTTCTCAGATTGTTTTAGTTTGAGTTGGATGGTAGGCTCTTGAAGGCAGCTGAGTAAATAGAATATTGAGTAAGACAAGCTTTCTTCTTTATTTTTTTTTTCAGATTCTACATAATCAAAAATTTAATTTGGAGCTTGACTGGGTTAGGTTTGCTAGGCAAAGGAATAACAAAATTCTTAGAAAAATGAAGATTATTTTTTTTAAAGGAGTCTTAAATACTTTAGCTATTTGAAGTCAAGATAACTTTGAAGAAAAGTTATTTCTGAAGTAGTGTGATGATGAACCATACTTAAAACTTCTGAACCATTTTCTTTCATTTATGAGATTCATTAGAAATGTGCTTGGCTAGGGGCGTCTGGGCGGCTCAGTCAGTTGGGCATCTGCCTTCGCTCAGATTGTGATCCCAGGGTCCTGGAATTGAGTCCCACGTCAGGCTCCCTGCTCAGTGGGGGGTCTGTTTCTCCCTCTCCCTCTGCCTCTGCGCGTGCTCTCTCTCACTGTCTGTCTCTCTCTTTCTCTCTCTCTCAAATAAAATCTTAAAAAAAAAAAAAAAAGAATGTGCTTGGCTCTTTACTTTTATCTGTGTCCCATCATCTGTCTTTACGTGTAAAACGTGTCCTGCCATTACCCTATATCCATGCAGATCACCCATTCCCAACCTAACCTTTATAGTTTCAGGGGTTTCATGACTTCCGATGTCATTCTCCACTCCAAATCAGACACCTCTCATGGTCATATTTTAAATCTTGTTATCACTCTAAATTGTTCTTATTTCAAAGTTACTAATTCAAGCATCTCATTTCTTTCTAACTTCAGTCTTCTCTCCTTTCAGCTTGTTTTATCAGCTTTGTCCTCTGTTATCTTTTTTTAAACCACTGTCCTTTCCCAGTGCATTAGCCCCATTCTGTCTTCTCCTCCTTCCTAATTTAAGTTTTCTTTTTTCATTTACAACCCAGGCTCTTATGAAGAGTACAGGCCTTTCAGGTAACAGCCCCCTCTGTCAAAAAATGACCTCCCACCACTATCATTCCATCAGAAACTTTTCTGCATTCAGGAACCCCTTCTAAAATACAAATACCTTTAATAAGTTATCTTGATTGGCAGCCAATTTTTTTTTTTAAGGGAAATGCAAGAATATACAAAGTTTAGTGCTAATGGAGAATGTAGGAAGGAAGCAGAGATTAAAAAAATTTGCCTTTCTTTAGAGTTAGGCCTCTGGTTTGCCTTGGCTGTGCCATTCAGAATTTAGCACACACGTCAGCAGTTGTAAACATCTAATTCAGAGTGTCACGTTGTATTTTAAATAATTTGGAAGTTCAGGTGGTTTTTGTTTATATTGTGGGATTTGTGAAAGGTAAGAATGAAGGGACTTGCTACTTGAGATAAAAAAACAAATAGTATTGAATCACGTTTTTCCTTATTGAGTGACTGTTCCAGGAGTGGACATCAGAAAAAATAACACTTAACTCAATGTGGACCTGCTTTCAGAACAGAAAATACCTTTGTTAAGTGATATGTGTATTATGGAAGAAGAGGAACATATGTAAAACATTGACACTGTTTGTAAACTAAATTTCTAGTGAAACTATAGAACCACTTAAGAAAACTTATTTTAAAAACTGTTTGCAAGTACCCATATATATTCAAATCTACTGATTAAAAACTTTTTTTTAATTAATAGCCAAGTCCATAGACACTGGTCAGTTTTTAAAATTACATAATCCTGGCTCGCTATATACAATAATTTAACCTGCTCTTCTGCGGTCTGATTTCTTACTGAATAATTAGGTATTTAAAAAAATGTAGAAAATTATATAATGAGGGCCCATGAACAGCAAAAGCCTTACAAATGCAATTGAAATCCTTCGACTAATTCTTCCCAATTCTGTTCTTCTTTCTCCCAATAACCACTATTCCTGTATTTAGTGTTTATTCTTATGAATATCTTTATAATTTATACACATATACATATTGATAAACAATATATGGCATTGTTTTGCAGATATTAAAACAGTTGATACTTTCGTATCATTCTGCAACATGTTTTGCACTTAAGTTGTTTCTGGCATTTGTTCAAGTTGATGAATACAGCTCTAGTTTGCTTATTTTAATTACTGTGATGTTCCATTATATGAATGCTCCATAATTTATCCAGCCTCTACGTTGTTTGTGATTTTTCAGTCTTGCAAATAATGACTGCTTCACTGAGTATTCTTATAAATGTTTACTTATAACCTGGTGTATCTAGAGTAGATATCTAGATAGATTTGTGGGGTGATTTAGTTGTATATCTTCAGTATTATGAGATATTGCTAAATTGCTTTACAAAGTGGTTGTTTCAGTTTTACTTGCATATCAGTGTTGGAGAGAGCCTGCACATCTTTACCCATTTGGTATTGTTAGACTTTTATTAGTCTGACAGGAGTAAAATGGGATTTCATTGTGGTTTAATGTTCTTCTCCCTGAATAAGAGACAAAATATTTTTTTGTGATTATTGGGTCCAGTCCTCTGTGATTTAAACCTGTTCGTGTGTTTCTCCATTTATCTTTTGGGTTGTCTTTATCTTACTAAGTGTTAGAAAATCTTTACGTAATTTTGATACTAATCCTTTGTAGGTTAAGTTGCATGATTTTTTATTCCACAGGAAAGTCCAACCTTCTGAACTAGTAGGGAGTGTATGGACCAAAGAAGATAAAGAAATAAATTCTCCAAATTTATTAAAAATGATTCGCCATACCACAAATCTCACCCTATGGTTTGAAAAGTAAGTGTTTACTTTTCTGTCTTATTACTTCTTAATAATTATAATATTAAGTCATCTATAAGCTTAAATTCTCACTAAAAATATATTTATTCTTTTCTATGTGAGGTGAGGAAATTTCTTTTTTTTTTTTTTAAAGATTTTATTTATTTATTTGAGAGAGAGAGAATGAGAGAGAGCACATGAGAGGGGGGAGGGTCAGAGGGAGA